ATTCCGGTACCCGCGGCTTGTATAATTTGGTGTTTTTGAAAGATACCATAGCATACACAAAAGACGATTTGGCACAATATAAAAAAATAATGGAGGCTACCCAGGTGCACACGCATCGACTGTACCAAAATATACCAAGGTCATCCGACCCTTAATAAAATCTCAGTCGCGTTCGTACTCGTACAGCGGTCAAGGTTATAATATGCGTTATAATGACGCTCCTACTGAATATGTATACTGGGACGACGTCAATGAACTCGCAGAGCGTCTGAAATTACTAATCGCGTCGAAACACGCAGGCAACTCGTCTCATGATAACGAAATAGTTTCAATCGTTGAAGAGCTAAAAGAATCAGGTTTTATACGTTAGTTTAACGATGAGTCTGGACAAGTTTGGACGTTCTAGCGCGCTCCGCTCTAAACGACCCTTCACTAATACTGTGATTAGAAGCGCCCTCGATTATATGCCAGACGGAAACGTCAATATGAACAATTTAAAAATTTGCAATGCCCAAACGCCTAGCGACGACGGCGACGTGGCTAACAAAAAATGTGGATGAGACAAGTAATTTATTAAAAATTGCATTGAGAAAGATTATTGGACAGAAACTCGAAGCGTACACGAAAAGATTACAAATTGAAAACAAAACTAAATTCTCGCGTCTTGAAGAACAACTGAAAATGAGTAGCACTACACTCGAAAATGAAATTAGGCAGTTTCGCGAAGTTTTCCACCAAATGCGAAATGAGCGCAAAGAAAGATTTGGAAAAGAACATGACAAAAGTCGCCGTTTTGTCACAGAAATTTCATGATATTGTAACCAAAATGGAGCGACTTACGAACGAAAATGAGAATATAATGAAGGTATTGAAACAAAGGGTTTTAAATTCTCCATCGCAACCGAACACACATTATGAATAAAGAGAAGGTACAACTGGTTCGAGAACTGCACAAGCCGGCACGCAGAAATTATGCTCGCCGCCGGACTATAATACGAGGGATGGACGACCTGTGGCAAGGGGATCTGGCCCAATTAGATCGCTACAGCAAACAAAACAGAAATTTTAAATTCGTGCTGGTTGTGTATGGTGTATGTATGGTGTCACCCGTTGAAAACCAAAACCGGGGTCGAAGTCGCCAAGGCGTTTTCCAAAATTCTCAAGGACGGACGGCACCGTCAAAACTTGCAAACGGATCTCGGTAAAGAATTTTACAACGACACGTTTCTGAAACTTGTGGATAAGCATAAAATTAACCACTATAGTACGTATAGCATAAAAAAGGCCTCAATTGACGAACGGATGATACGTACCCTCAAAGAGAAATTGTTTCGACATTTTTATTTACGCGGGACGTACAAATAGATCAATGTGCTCGCCTCTATCGTTGAAGAATATAATAACACAAAACACAGAACGACGGGTGCGAAACCCATCGATGTGAGTCAGAGCAACGAAAAGAGAATTTTGAAAACCGCGTATAGTAGCATAAAAATATTCGGTCCTCGTAAACTTAAAGTCAGCGACATCGTTAGAATCAGCAAAGTCAAGCACGTGTTTAACAAAGGTTATACACCGAATTGGACCACGGAACTGTATAAAAATTGTTAAAGTATGGGTTACTAACCCCGTAACGTATTTGCTGCAAGATATGCAGGGTAACCCCATAATGGGTGGATTTTATGAAGAAGAATTGCAGAAGACAGTTAACCCGGACTTATATCTCGCCGAAAAGGTGTTGCGCAGACGAGGCAATATGGTTCTCGTGCGCTGGTTGGGATTGGATAAGTCGCACGATTCGTGGGTAGACAACGTAGACGTCTTGAAATAAATTTAGTATGTGATGGCTCAAGAGCAAATTGTGACATCCAACGAATTGTATAATTTATTGGAAAATTTCGAGTTGCAATTTCCTTCATCAGAAGTGCTTCCGTCCAGCTTCGTTCCTGTAGAGCAACAATCCAAAAAATCTGCGACAAAACGAAAACAAAGTGCGTCGGTCGTATCCCGCAAGAAGAATACCACAAGTGAAGCGTTTGCAGCTCCAACGTCATCCGCTGATTGGCTCGAAGTGTTCACGGACGGTAGAGAAAAAAGTGTCATTTGTGAGGCATTCAATTTAAAAAGAAACTTGGCGTCTCAGTTGGCGGGATTAGAGTGCAATATCAACGAAATGGAAACACAAATTGCGCTTTTTAATACAGACTTGCAAGTGGCGCGGCTGCAAGCGCAAGCGTGCAAAAGAAAACTAGAACAATTTAATAATTTAGCATTTAACGAAATTGTAAAATAGTAATAATGTATATAATAAATAAATTATACAATTACAAACTTCTGTGTAATTATTATGCGGTGTTGTGGTGGTGGTAAAAAAGAAAATAGCGTCTAAATATATACATGTTTATTCTTGTTGCAATACAATGGAATACAATCAATACATAAAAGACTTATCTACAGTTATATATTTTATAATAAAACCACAGTATTAATAGTTCAATGTGCTATCAGAAAAGCGTAACTTTTTCCCATATGTCCCCTCATCGTGAAGCATTAAATTACATATATCTTCAGTTTCTACAGTGAACAAAACTTCTTCAAAGCAGCTTTGACACCAAAATTGTTTATCGTGATATACATCATTGAAATTATTTATATCCAGCTGTAAATGATAGTGATCCAATAAAAGTCTAAAATTTTTCTTTTTAAATTTTTTAACTAGTTGAAATATAAAGTGACAAGATTTACAAACTAAAATTTCCGAATATTTTATCCTGTAATAACTGACCCATAAACAGTAAGCGGATTCTCCGTCAAAATCAATGGTTGGAGTTGCCAAAATGCTATTTCTGTAAGACGATCCAAATCTCTTATTCCACAGAATGAATTCTAAGTTTAATAAAGAATTCCCATCAGACTGGAGCGCTAGTTGTTTAAGGTACCTCCATCTATATTTCGAATAATATTTAAAAATTAGTATCGTTAGTTTCCAAGGCAAAGGTGACTCAAGCAAAAAATCAGCACTACACCTAATATTTTCGCAAATTGTTATAATACAAAGGCTTTCTAATGTAAGTTGTTTGACCATAATCTTTAACAAAAATATATTAAAATATAATTACGGCACTTTATAATGTCCCCACGGAGGCGTTTCATATGAATTCGGCAAAAGATAACGTTTATCGTCTAAAGGACTCAAGGCAACTTTTGTTTGTTCGATGCTAAATACATTGTGAGTGTATGAACGAATGGTTCGTTGAGTGGCGTACTTTTCCCTAAAATTTGTTAAGCATTCTACGTAGTCATCAAATGAAATTTTATTTTTTACAATATTGTACTGAATACCCTTTGACTTTTTAACCACCGAACCCGTGAAAATTTTGAAAGTATACATTTTCGACTTTAACCCCGCATAATCACTAATGATGGTGCCATTAGTCTCATCCTTCATCAACCCCAAAACCTTTTTGTTGATTTGCGGTATGTTATAGGGATTGTCATTAGGATAATCAGACGTGTCAAATTTTGTTAAATCGGCCTTAATAACGCTTTCATATGCGTCATAACATTTGATATTATAAATGAAACTGTCCGTATCCATGTATTGAATTTTACATTTTTCGGGACCCAAATTTGGAAGCATGTAATTATAATGAAACTCGTACATGGTCGTTTTCGACAAATCCAATATGGACATTCCAATATAAAGTGGCTTATTAAAGCAAAGTTCCGATTTTTTTAATTCTATAAGCAACAAATTGTTATCAACCGTGAAATCTAGGACTAGAAATTAAATTTTTCGCACCGTAGCGACCATCCCACGCTTTAACAAATTTAACAATACGATGCTTGCGAATGTTTTCCATTGTTTTACCGTAAGCGGCATTATTAAATAATTTGTATAAATTTATACCAAATTTTGTCTTTGCTTGGGTTCTTAATTTATTATTATGATCGATATAACATTTCATCCAACGAGATTGGTTAAATTTTAATATTTTGTGAATTTTCTTTAGTACGAAACCGTTTTTGAGAGCCTGTTTTAAATTGCGATAGTGTATGACGTATTTTTCTTTATTATACAAAGTAGTCATTAGTTTTGGTAACTTTCAATTGGGGGGCACTCGATGTTCAGCACAAAATGGAACATCTCTATGTGTGTCATGTAATTTCTGCGGGTATTCCAGGTCTACCTCTAGGATATATCCTTGGGAAGATTCATCTGGAATGTCATGACATTAAATGAATCAATCTCTTGCTGAGACATCCAGTCGAATCCTCCGTAAGGAAGAGGCTCGCACATGGCCTTGCCATAGACGTTATTGACGTCAAAGTACATGATATAGGAATCATCCCTGGATGAATTGTAGTTGGGCATATATTTATTGTTGGCCTCCGCATATCTACCAACACACACCGAAATTCCACCTCGTATAGCCCGCTCGATAAACATAATTTGGTCAATGTCGCGCAAAAGTTCTAAACGACATTTTGTGAATCTAAGCATGCAATCCCATGTATACCCGGACATACTGAAATACCACGCCGGATCCAAAACGTGTGTTGCCATACAAGTTTTTCGAAAATTTTCGAATATATCTGCCAGAAGAATAACGTCGGTTTTTAAATACAAATCTGAATACTCGCCTAAATTTTTTATTTCAAACGACTGCCAAACACTTTGTGCGTGGGATAATTTTTCTTCACTAATATTGCTTTCACTTAATTTATTATAGAATTCTTCAATCGGGGGTAAAGTTGTTTAATTTAATTTGTCTATATGGTCGATGTAATCGTAACAAAAAATACCTTTTTGCGACAGTAAATTTAATTTTGATTCGTCGTGATCGGAAAATACTTTTCTTAAAATATATTGTTCATTTTTATCCATACTGGAAACTAAATTATCCAGAGATGCTCCCAAAAATCTAAACGAATCTATAAATCTAAATTTTATGTTATAATCAGGTTCGAAATATGTAAAAGAGATGTATTTTTCTTTATTAACTGGAACTATGGATACACAGCTTTTTTTTTGCTAAAACCAGAAGCAGGAAGTGGCTATCGTATCCAGAAAGGTTCTGGAATACTACGGGCACTACAAATATTTTTTTAAAATTTAAATTACAAGCCTGATGGGCAAAACCTCTAAATTTACCAGTAAAATGATCATGGTCACGAACAATAACATCTTTTAAAAAAGGTTTTTCACAAATATGACAATGGCTCGACCTTTGATCTAGACTAATTTCACTATCCATTGGTATAATATCCTTAAATTTTGAACGAACAAATTTTGATAAATTAGATATTTCCTCCACGAACCAATCAATACAATCTAGACCACGATAACTTTTGAAAAATGATATTGAATCATCATAAGAACATTTAAAGTAATATGCAGCACTGTAAGCTTCGTGCTTTTGGTATTTCGAGGTGTTATCTGAAATTTTCAAATTTACTTTTCTCAATTGACTCTCAAAATCGGCGTAAATTACAAACGGAGTCCTTTGTTTATATATATGGTTTCGAAATTCAACATAATCATATTTGGGAAAAGACACTTTATACTCATTGAAACTGGAACATATTGTTTCGTGGTCATGTAGACGAGTTTCGTTATTGCACCTATCGCAAATGTATTTCTTGTGATTATATTTACTGAGCTGTGAGGAAACTAATCGAGACAAATTTTTAATGTAGCAATAGTGATATTTTATTTCTTCATGACCATTATCTTGCGGATCAGGATCAAAATCATTAACTTTTGGATAATATTTATTTTGTATTAACAACAAATTTGAATGTTTTTCGCGTTTTTCTTTTGTTAATCGTGCAGGTAACACGGAATAAAAACTAGTTTTTTCATTTTTATTAAACTCTAAGATATAAACATTGATGGAAATATCATTGTCTTTTTCAAATTTGCTTATTTTATTCATTTCCATAGGTGTTTGTAAATTTTCAGTTTTCAAAACACTTTTGTAGTATGGATATGAAGAGGGTAAATACTGACGAAAACGTGCTGGAAAGAGTCCGCATACAACTGACCAATAAAAACACGCTTGATCGTCATTTCTATGACCATTATCTTGCGGATCAGGATCAAAATCATTAACTTTTGGATAATATTTATTTTGTATTAACAAACAAATTTGAATGTTTTTCGCGTTTTTCTTTTGTTAATCGTGCAGGTAACACGGAATAAAAACTGGTTTTTTCATTTTTATTAAACTCTAAGATATAAACATTGATGGAAATATCATTGTCTTTTTCAAATTTGCTTATTTTATTCATTTCCATAGGTGTTTGTAAATTTTCAGTTTTCAAAACACTTTTGTAGTATGGATATGAAGAGGGTAAATACTGACGAAAACGTGCTGGAAAGAGTCCGCATACAACTGACCAATAAAAACACGCTTGATCGTCATTTCTAATGTTAATACAAGCCCTTTTATTCGCAATTTCTTTAGGCAACTCTACGAAGGATGATCCGTTACCCATTTCAAATTTATTAATGTTAATCTCTAAATAAATAATATTATTTAAAGCCCACCCGGAATCACGTTCCTGAAACTCTGACATTTGATTTAAAAGTTTATCTTGCACATTTTCAACAAACCAATCATTCAATTCTGTTCCTAAATCAACTACAGCATTTCCGGTACTCAGATATTTAACATCAACTTCGCCTTGGACATCATTTTTTGCCTTAATAAATTCACCGCAAAATGTGGTATTTACTTTCAGCAATAAAAATTTCTTTAAAATTTGACTAATTTTTTTTGTTGAAAAATTGGACGACAATCGTTTAAAAATTGAATTAAATCTTTATGAAGTAAATTAATTATGACACCGGTCTGAACTCTTCCCTGGAAACACGACGCTACCGATTCCCATACAACCATTTCATTTGTGTTTGTCTCGCGGCTACTACTTTGTAATCCCAATCCAAAATGCTTATGTTGATAATTAAGAATAATTTTTCTAATAGCTTTCAGATGTTGAATTGTAGTTTGTAATTTTCTTTTTAACCCAATAGATAAATCCTTTTCGTTAGAAACGATTTGGTTGCAAGATTCAATATTTTTATTTAGTCTCCTAAGCCACACATCACTATCTCTAAGAGTGAACTTGTCGGAAATATGCTTTTTTAATTTTTGTAAGGTTAAAATTAAGATTTGTGCTCTATGAATGATATGCTTTACGCGCATCGTGGTTTATTAAATATATAACAGTAAATAAGACTTACCCTGTATAATATGTTGATTAATTTTGAATTATTTTGAATTTCTTTAAAGAGTTGGGCTTTCCAATATCTTTGGATCCCTCGTAGACCAGTTTGTACTGCCCCGACGCAAAGTGTTCTAGTCTCGGACGGAAAGCTTCTGTCACGCGAGTAGGAAGAAATACTACGGAATTTTCTAATTGCAGCAACACGGAATTGCCAAATTTTGTATTAACAATTTTGGCTCTAGTAATTTTAAACGGAACGCCTATCGGCAATTCATGCAGTTTGACAATCGGCTGCTCAAAATCACCTTCTGCAAGACAGGTTTGATTCAGTTGACTTAAGTCCATCTATAAATTATTATTAATTATTTTATCTCAAAATTAAAGAAAATAAAAAAAACTTACGCTTAAGATTGCTGCTATTCTATTTGCGGTTACGGGTTGAGAGTACTAAGATGATCTTTAAGACCTTTATAAAATAATAACAAATGTTAAAGAATTAAAATAAAACAAAAAAAAAAGGTACTTACTGCTTTTTGGTACGAACACCAAACCACTAAGTTAGCTTCCACGTTGCACGAATAATACCAAAAACAACTACTGACAAAACAGAGAAAAATGAGATGTATTTATACGGTCCGAGAATACTTTCTAAAAGTTAACAAACAAAGACAACTCCACATGCGTTGCAACAAATTTTTCCCATTACGTTAATCCCACGGAGCAAATATAAACGGGCAAATAATTATTATTCTCAACAAGCAAAACAATTTTGGCTTTTAAAAAATAAACAATTTTAAAATTTATTTGATGACCCCACTTACTGAAAGTTTTGTTTCAAAAATGTGCGTTTTATGGGAAACGCGAAATATATACATATTTTTGTGTATGTTTTGTACTAAAAAATTGCAGTTTGCCCTTTTGACAATAATACACTTTTTTACTTTGCATAATAATCGAATTAAATTGAGTGTTTTTAATATCTTTTAAATGACAGTGAATAGAAAAGGGAATTTTGGCTTTTAAAAAATAAACAATTTTTAAAATTATTTGATGACCCCACTTTCTGAAAGTTTTGTTTCAAAAATGTGCGTTTTATGGGGAAACGCGAAATATATACTTTTTTTTTGTTTATTTTTTGTACTAAAAAATTGCAGTTTGCCCTTTTGACAATAATACACTTTTTTACTTTGCATAATAATCGAATTTAATTGAGTGTTTTTAATATCATTTAAATGACAGTGAATTGAAACGTGAATTTTGGTATGCGCGTATAACTTAAAAAACAATTTTTAAAATTGTTTGATAACCCCTCTTTTTGGAAGTTTTGTTTAAAAAATGTGTGTTTTATAGGAAACGCTACATATCATACTTTGTTTTGTTCTAAATAAAATCGCACTTTGTCCTTATGACAGGTCGCATATTATGTTGGCGCATCGCTTAGGGCGTCACATATTCAAATCACACAAAGAGTACCAAGGGTTAGAATTCCCGGTACGACATACAACGACAAGGGAACATCACCAGCAGCAGGAGCAACCCGGTGGATCAAAAGAAACAAAGGAGCAGCAGGAGTACCCGGGTGGGAGGTCGACGGAGTGGGACGGCGAGGAGTGCACTTCGTATTTAGATTCCCTCCGGGAACGGGAAGAAGAACAACTCATGGAACAGGAACAATAGGATGGTCGACTGAATCGACACAAAAAGGAGAAGAAACTCCTCGCCAGACCAATTTTATAAATAAAATAAAACAAAATAAATTAAAATTCAAGTTTATTTAATTATCCTCCCGGTTGAGGTGCGGTTTTTGCTTCTTATATCGGTACTATATATCTACTGCTTTCCCAAGTAATTCCGATGTTTCATAAATCGTTATACCTTTGGCAGGATTCTGGTCCATCCAATCACTACAAGCAGTTTTATAATAGGCTTTGAGTGGTTCAAACACTGTTCTGTCTAAGGGCCCGTGTTTTATGAGACGTGCGGGGAGATATTGTCAAAAGATTTGTACCATTCTCTTTAGCGCAGTTTAATGATTCTATGCTAATATGACTGTCATGGTTATCCATTATAATCAACATCGGATACTCAACTGAACATTTGGTGTATTTTTGAAAATGTTGTAAAAACTTTATAAAATTCTCAGCAGTCATCCAACCTGAAGGAAATACGCTCACATTTCTTCCTGCAGGTGAACCGTTCAACATACGATCTTGCCAGTTCTTGCGTAGAAAGAACATGAATGGAGGAATGTATCCTCCCATTGCATTTATAGCACAGCACACAGTTACCAATTCACCACGTTAACCTGTAGTAGCAACAATTTTTTAGGTTTATGTACAGTACTCAGCCCCGTCTCGTCAATATTCCAGATAGCTTCCGGTCCAAAATGATACTTAACCAATAGTTTTTGTAAATTTTCAAAGAAACAGGCAATGTTATGTTTATTGAAGCTGGTCGATCTACTCAGGCTGGTCCCTTCAGGTAAACGTAGTGATAATTCTTTATACGCACTATTATTGGTACATGCACATATTTTCTCATCTGGTTTTTGGTTTTGAATAGCCAACTGATATGCTAGCTGCCGAACACACCGAGAAGATAGGCCATGATGGAGTTTGCTAGCTTTTTTTAGGTACTTGGCTAAATGCAACTCCTCTTCTTTAGTGGTAGTCACCATGAGTAGGATACCTCTGCAAACCAGCATGGACCTCCAGAAGGTTGTAGTATATGAATAGGGAAGGCAGAGTTAGAATCTTAAATTTAATAAAAAGCTCACGACAATCTGCTCCAGGAGGAGCCCCTTGGAGAATGCGAACTGCTGACTTCTGAAGCCGAAAAACCCGATCAGTATCTGAAGAGTCACCCCAAAGAAGCACGCCATAGGTCAGATGACTGTGAAAGAGTGCAAAGTAGATATCTTTAAGGTCTTCTGCGAAATGCAGTCTTTTAATTGCCTTAATGCAAAGATTTGAGACGAGAGTTTGGAACATAGATACTCGATATGAGCCGACCAGGTTAGGAAGGTATCGAGAAAGATACCTAGAAGCTTAGCAGGCTGTGACTTTACAGCTCTTTTGTTGGATGTTATTAGCATTTTTTTCGTCTTCGATGTGTTAAGCTTAAGTTTATTGGCGGCGAACCATTGGTCAACCGCCTGAAGATCAGCGTCAGCCATCACCTTCAAAGTCGCAATATCCTTGTCCGAAGAGATCAAGGTCGAATCATCGGCAAATGGAATGCAGTTCGCCGTATCGACAGCCTTTACCAGATCATTAATATAAATTAGAAACAGGAGGGGACCGAGGATGGATCCTTGGGGAACTCCCCTATTAACCGTTACCATATTAGACTCGGTACCATTAACATATACATATTGCACACGGTCTGCCAAATACGATTCAACCAGACCCAGTGAATTGCCTCTGACGCCATAGTATTCAAGCTTTTGAGCCAGAATCTCAATGTCAACACCGTCGAAGGCCTTCGAAAGGTCACACATGGTGACCGAGGCTGAGCGACCCTCATCCAGGTCTCCAACCACACTGTTAATCAATGTAACCAAAGCCCGACTAGTGGACTTCCCTCTGCGAAAACCAAACTGAGACTGATTAAACAGTCCTTTGTCCTCAAAGTAGTTCATTAAATTGTCTTTAATTATAATTTCAAAAATTTTACTTACTACTGGAACAATTGCAATTGGTCTGAAATTATCTAGATTTTCTGGATCCCCTTTTTTATGCAAGGGCAAAGTCTTTGTGATCTTAAGTTTTTGGGGGAAAACCCCCTCCTCCATGGATTTATTAATAAGTGAGGTAATGGGTCCCAAAAGTGAAGTTAGACATTTTTTGAAAATGCTGGCATTCAATATATAATAGTCCAGACACTTTGAATTTTTAAGTCTGAGTATGGCTTGCCTTACATCAGATTCCATCACTGGTGGCATAAAAAAAGAGAATGGTGGTTTTGGGAAACGGTGCAAAAAACTCAAGGCTCTGGTCGACGGTGTGGCTATACTGTTTATGATATTAGTTGTAATCGATGAGAAGAATTTATTGAAAGTGTCTGACAAAATTGTGGTAGATATTATAGCATTTTTATTTGTTTTCCTTTCGAAATTAACAATTTTCCACGTAATTTTGGACGTATCCTCCGAGGTAGTGATGATATTGTCGTACGCCTTTTTTTTGTTTTCTTTAATAGCCCGTTTATAATCCCTATGGTAATCTTTATATCTATGTCAGTCAAGGGTGATTCTAGAACAATTATACGTTCTTTTTAAGTCATAAACACGCTTACGCATTTCTCTCAGTTCATTAGAAAACCACACTAAAGGGCAGCGGTGCTCCTTAGCTTTAGTAAGGGGGAAAGATGCTTTTGAGAGTTCAGACAGGGTATTATTAATGGAGGTGCACATGTCATTAGCATTCTGAGCATTCCAAATCTGGTCAGGCCAACAAACTCGAGACAGTTTATCGATAAATTGATTTATCATTAACTAATCTAAAATAGTCATTATTCTTATTTTTATTTATGGAGTTTGATGCTACATTAACCTTAATAAGCTGACCAAAGTGATCCGATAAAGTAGGCTCACAAACACTAACATTTAAATCACCAGAAGGAAAATTCGAGACTACGTTGTCCAAGCAAGAACAGTTGACATAACATTTCTGGTGGGGTCATTCACAAAAAACTCCAGGCCATAGGACTGTATTAAATTTTTCAATTCAGATGACTGATTAGAAGTTGATGTTAGATCGACATTAAAATCGCCAACAAATATAATTCTGTCATACCTACAGAAAAGAAAGTTAATCATAGCATTGAAGTTGTCCACAAAAATTGAAAAACTACCATAAGTCGAAGATCTATAGAGTGTCACAAGTACCGTTCTAGTATTCAGAACTTCTGCTGCGCAGAATTCAGCGTGGCTTTGAATGGAAAAATTCGACATATCTAAAGTTTTGTATTTCAGCCACGATTTCAAAAATATTGCTACTCCACCATGCTGGCCCGCCGGGTGACAGAATGAGGCTGCCAGTACAAAATCACCAGCTTTAATGGAATTCAGTTCCTGGTTGCTCAACCAGTGCTCCGACACACACAGAATATTAACTCTGTTCAATGTTGTAAAAATTAAAATTTCATCTACCTTGTTGAACATTGATTGTACATTAATATGAAATAGGTTCAAAATATTTAAGTCCTTACAGTTTGTACGGTTCAGGCCAAAAGAAACTGGAATGGAATCGCCGTCACTAGTGCTGCCGGCCGTCTCCGCCCGCTCCAGAGACTGATTTAGAAGCTGGTGTGACTGTGGCCGATCTAGGTGGAAAAAACCGGCTGATTTTTATCCCAACGGGTCAGATATCCGGGTTTAACATCTTTGGTGAGTTGGTAGACGGCAAAGAAACCTTGAACGACGAATACTGATCCGGATATTTAGATTGCAACCTAGTGATTGCTGCGTCGACCGTGAGTTGCTCCAAATACTCAGACAGACTCTCCGGTGTTGTCTCCGGATCAAGCTTTTTGATGTGGAAGTGGTGCAGGTTGGCTTTGGCCGCCGCTCTCAGACTGCAAGAAGGCGTGTCCCCCAGTCTACCAACTATGAGATCTCTTGCTCTGGGCATTTTTCGAAAACGAGGTCTTCTATTGTCACCGTTTGTATTTATTAAGTTGCTTGGAGTATCCGATGCTTGAGCCTCGTGGATTGCAGTCTCGACATC